AGAGACTGTGTGGAATTAGGGGTGGGTATGAATGGTGGTGCAGAGTTGGGGAGCTTGAGCTTATTGCCTGTGCCGCCAAACAGTCGCTGTCTCGACCACCGAGCTTAAGCTTAGTGCCTGTGCCGCAAAACAGTTGTTGTCTCGACCATCGGGCTTAAGCTTAGTGCCTGTGCTGCGAAACAGTTGATGTCGCGACCATCGAGCGTAAGCTTAGTGCCTGTGCTGCGAAACAGTTGATGTCGCGATCATCGAGCGTAAGCTTAGTGCCTGTGCTGCGAAACAGTTGTTGTCTCGACGATCGAGATTAATCTTAGTGCCTGTGCTGCAAAACAGTTGCTGTCTCGACCACCAGGCAGGTGTTTCACACACTCGACCGCATCTCTTGTACGTGCTGCGTCTCTCCCCATGGACTGCAGACAATGTGGCTGGATGTTTTGAACTGCCAGTCTGCTAGCTCAAGACACCGGCCATTGTTAGGATGTACGGACCTGCCTTGTGCTGAGCTAACTTCATTCATGATGAAAAACTGTCAGAAGTTCGCGTAGCTGGGAAATGAAGTGGTGGTTTCTAGTTTAAACCAATGCTACGACTGGTCGCCTCATTTGTATTTTGCTAATGACAAACCACTATATTTTTTTTGTAAAGAAAAAAAAGAAAGTGCCACCCTGGCGCTTTAGCAAAGCTTGGTGCGCAGATCTTTTTCGCCTTGGCAAAAAGAGGCTCAGAGGTAGTGGTGGTTTAAGCAGATGCTTGTGGTCGTTGTGTTCTTTACATCAGATAAGTCAAGAAGATGAGTCATCCCTGTTACATGTGTGGTTTTTATGTGCTGCCCTGTGCCCATGTCCTCTCCCCACCCTACCCAACCCCTGTGCAATCTCAACTTTTTTTTTTTTTTTTTTGCTCCAATCTATTCGTGGGGAGCATCACGTGCTGGGAATCGGGCCCAGTGTCCCTTAAAGTGGGAATACATTGATGATTGACAATTGATGAAAATTAGGGATGATTAAGGATCATTTTGGATGATTTAGGATGTCAGAGTGGGTGATTGAGGTTGTGAAATAGAGCTAGATGATGACTAATCAGAAAGATTGTCTACTCAGAACTGAATTACTATCCTATACCTAATTTCCTGTATCCATTCCAAACAACCAATCACAATTGAGCCGGTGCTGTGCACCAATCAGGCCTCTTCCCAGTCTCACACCCCAATCTGGCTCGGTTACAGGGCAGCGCTACCCACCCCAGCTCCGACCATTGTCGGCCAGATTGTATCCATTAGTCAAGTTTGCAGATTGCCTTCCTCCCTCGGCAATTCCAGACCTCTATACAAAGCCTCAACTGAAAATCTGAGATCGTAATTATGGTACAACACCTGTCGGCGTTGTGCTGTGCGGTGGATCCTGAAGCGGTGGATCCTGAAGAAAGGGGTATGCTGCGCAGTGCGCACCCAAATTTAAGGAATTGTTTACGAAGGAAGGAGAAATGAAAAGGGACAGGTGCAAAATGGGGGGACTCTTTTCTGAGGATAAATGAACTTCAATCGTGCACCGACCTGTGAGCGCTAGACCACAAGAGTCTTTCAACAAGAGGAATGACCGTTGTTGGGAGGCTCAAGCCTTACGCCGCCCTTTACTTCCTTGGAAATTTCGCTGTACGACAGACTTCGACCACATTTCCTCTTGTGATTGGGGCCGACGAGATGGAATTTGTCAATGCTGGACTGAAAAACACAAGGTGCCAAGTTCGGATGAGACTATGATGAGACACTGTTGAGGGTAAAGGAAATTTACACTGTTCGGCAAAGACTGAAATACTGTCAAACATACGGAAAATATGAAATTTGACGGCGGCAGACGAATAGCGGGTGAATGCGTGGAATCCACAACCAAGGGTTGGAATGACCCTCGGAAGGAGTGGGTAGTGCTTTGTGCTGGGTATTGGGAAGGAGCGAATTGTCGGCAGCAGTGAAAGAGAAGCCGACGGCCGATGCGCTGGAAAAACACGAAAATGTGAGCGGGGACAGCCAGGATGACGTGGGTGTGCGAGCCGGGCAACTGTTCGCCCACCTTGAGATTGCGTGCGTGAACGGCAAATGATTACTCTTTTTCCACTTTCCCCTTGTGATTGTGGCAATTGAACCGAAGTGTCGAGAAAGGCGGGAATATGGAAACACCAGGCCTGAGTTTCTTAAAGGTCCGCGAAAAGCCGAAAGTGGCAGCAGTTGGCTTATTTTCGCAACGGCGTTGGAGGGTTGATTTTCTTGGCATGAAACTCCGAGAATTGGGCTGAAAAGGTGCGGTACCAGGCTGCTGCATGGCCTGCTTGGTGCCACTCGTGACCTTTTGGAACCAAAACAGGCTCGGGAGTCGGAACTAGGCCCAGCCGTGTCTTTGGTACCGGGGCTCGACGGCTGGTGGATCTTCCGGTCGGACCAAGCTGTGGGGGGCTGTACTGCTGGGCCCGGCAAACTTTGTAAGCCCAAGTGGGCTCTTCTTGGGGGTATTGGGGACATGCGCATGCGCTTGCGGATGAGAGTGTGCTGGCCCTCTAGCGTGCTAGTTCCCGATCTCGGGGCATTCGGAACGGGCTGGTCACAAACTTATGTGCCGGTGAACTGGCACATCCTGTGCCGAAAGGACACGATTCATTCGCGCACGAGGAAGCCAATCAAAGGCATAACCACCCACGATGCACGGGGGCTGTGTTCAAGCGGTGCACTTACGCATGCACAAAACGTGGGATAAATCAATCAACGGGCGATGGTCCATACGCACACATTGTCCAATTGCACCCGGTGATCCGATCACGTTAGGTGAACTGATTGGGGCGATCCGATCGTGTGCTCGGCAGATTGATTGGTTTCGATTACATAAGGAGATCCGAATCGTGATTGGCGAACGACGGGATGATTTTCAGATTACACGAGATGATCCAGTCATGAAAGGGCGGAGTCTGATTACTCGGCAGTTGCGTACGAGTGAAGTTACGGGCTGAGAGAAGACACCAATTGAGGGCAAGCTAGTTAATCAAAGCTCGCACTATGGTCGATCACACACGGGGAGAGGAGCCCAACATTGGTATAGGTTCAGCAATAGACGCGATTATGAAAGTGTGCATGGGCAGAAGAGAGCGTCGTATGGCGAGAGCGGAAGTGCGTGTAGGCTGAAGAAAACCGTGAAAATGCCAGGTGGGTCAACGTTGCGAGAAGGCTGGGCGCACGGTCCCATAGGCCCAAACCTAGATGGGGAAGTTGGTCCACTTCATGTCCGTGCCAGGACAGCCACGGACATTCGCGGACACGGCCGCGGGCTCCTGACACCCTCACGGCCGTGCCAAGGGGGGGTCCTGACACCCTCGCCGCCATGAAAATGCCAGGTGGGTCAAGTTGGTCCACTTCATGTTCGTGCCAGGACAGCCACGGACGTTCGGGGACATGGCCGCGGCCCTCACACTGTTGTCTGAGCGTCTAGCGTGCAACTGTCTAGGATTTCTCTAGGTCGCTGCGGAATGGAAAGCAGGAATTAAGGAAAATTAATGAACATCCCGGAGTTAGGGCGCCCTAGAGAATCTAGGTTTGGGATACATTCATGTTAGTTTAGTGTGCATAGAAGACCAACATGTTATTCCTGGACTGGTGCAGGCTGGGGGCTCAAGGTCAAATTTGAAGAGGGATGAGGGGGTATACATTGTGTGTTACTTCTTAGGCAGGAGGAATTTCAAGCTTCTATGGAGAGAGGTAAAAAAACTGGAAGCGGATGGCTTTTCCTTTTCCTTTGCCTAGTGGCTTTTAACAGGATCTTTCCACCCTAGTCACAAGCCTGAAATTGACTCTTCAAATAACTGTTTCTTTTACTAGTCAGAAGCCTGAAATTGAATCTTCAAATTTCTCTTGCAGTACAGGGAAAAAGTTAAAAAAAAAAAGAAAAAAAAAAAGGAACGACCTGGGGCAGGTCACCCGTGGACATATCTCAAGGCCACCACCTTTCTGTTAAACTGCCAGTGCATTTCCCAGTCCTTTCTTTTTTTTTTTTTTTTTTTTTTTTTTCCAGTCATATTTTTCAGAAGTCGCGGCTGGTGTTAAAAAAAAAAAAAAAGGTTGTGGCTTGCCTGCTGCCACAACTTTCGGGGCCTCGGCGGCTGGGGCAAAATTGCTGGCGGGGCCAGCCAAAAGGAGAGGCCCACGCTGGTTCGTTTTTCTTTCGCACGCAGTGCGTTTGCCCCAGAGAAAAGTGCCTTGGAAGCACTGGTGTTTAAAACCACCCGTACCTCTGGGCCTCTTTTTGCCGTCGCAGATTCCCCCTGCGCGCCAGAAGAAAAAACACCCCCTATGGCGGCCATTTTCTTTTTCTTTTGCCTGGCCTGCCAGCCATTTTGGTCCAGTAGCACTGTTCATCTGTAGAGAGCGGAATGCCGCATTTTCGATTCTGAAGT